AGGATATGGAACATTTCCTTGTGCTCTTTCCAGTCAGTAGCCCCAAGGGTAACTTCTATTTTAACTTCATAGATTGATTTTGGCTGTTCTTGTACTTCATTAAAATGGAATCATAGAATTGTATTTTTTTGTGTTTGATTTTTTCCAGTCAACATTATAATGTAACTCATCCATGTTGTTGAGTAAAGTATTCCACTGTATAATGTATTCATCTATTTGAATGCTTATGGACATTTGGGTTGTTTCTAGCTTTCAGCTATTACAAATAATAATGCAAGGAAGATTCTTGTACAGGTCTTTTTAGGAGATTGCCCAAGAGTGCAATTGCTTCATCACAGAACATGAGTATATATTTTCTTTCCATATGTACTGTACTACCAAGTTTTTTTCCTTAGTGGTTACACCAGGTAACACTCCCAAGTTCCTATACTTTGAAAGTATAATTTTTTTCTGCAATATTTTTATTCTAGGTTGGTGGTGCTAGTTAATATGAGATTTGGAGATATTTTCCAGTTCATTGCAGATTACACAGGTACATCTACACATTTGTATTTCACATCACTCAATATGGATATACTTGGGAGTCTAATAGTGAAAAATCCCTAGGATTAAAAGGAAACTGTTAGTTTGAGAAAGTATAATATTAATCACAATAAAATTTAACTATTGAATAGATGTCTGATTTTACGACTTAGGAGTGAGCATAAATACCAGCTAACCATGGTGTTCAATTCATACCCAGATCGAAATCAGGAGGGTGAATTGACTCAGGGACATTCTCCTGGGCCTTACCTCTGGCGCCATTTTTGTGAAAGGCTGAATTGTATTTTATGGCTACTCTTTTCTCCCATGTATTCCTTTAAGAAGAAGCAGTAACTCAATATAGTAAACACTGCTTGGAATCCTCAGCACTGAGCATTTTAATTCTAACAAGTGTATACCAGCCTGTGGTTGAAAAAAAAATGGAAATTTAGGGCTTCAGTTTCTCAGTTCACATAATGGTTAGTTAGACCATGGTCTGTGTGGTCTGGAGGGCACTATAACTATAATATTGTGGATATAACAAAAATAATTGCCAAAGTAAGGAGCACTTAGAATCAGTCTAGAAAAGCTTAGGGTTCAGTTTTCTTCCCTTTGGACAAAGCTGTGTTAATCCATTCATTCATTCATCATATACTTGCACAATGATTCAGCAACTACTTGTTCAGGATTATGTACAAGGCTCTGTTCTAAGCATACAGCAGGGAACAAAGCAAAAGCCTTGCTGTCATGGAGCTGACCTTCTTGAGTATAAGGGGAGAAAAATAATATATACCTATATGTCATGTGGAGGAAAATAAAAACACACTAAGGACCATGGAATGTAGGCTTAATGTTGGGAACTGCTAGAGCTTTTTATGAGGGAAGTCAGGGCAAGTCTCTGAGTCAGTGACATTTGTGCAGAGACCTGAAGGGACAGACCAGTGTAGACATCCACTGGAGGAAGAGCAAGCTAAGTGGAGGGGGAATATGCCTGGTGAGCTAAAGAGCAGTAAGGGGGCCTCTGCTGTCCAAGGGAGGCTGTGGGAAGTCAGTAGTTAGAGGGGGCACCTAAGTCAAAATAGGGCTCTGTATTAGAGCTCTAACAATCATTGTAATAACCTCAGCCTTTTCTCTGAGCCGGAGTCCACTGGAGGGTTTTGAACAGAAAAGAGACTGTTCAAGTCTTTTTCTTCTTTCTTCCTTCCTTTCTTTCTTTTCTTTTTTTTTTTTTTTTGAGGATGACCTTAAACAATGGGTAGAAAATTAACTTTAGAGACAAGGGTAGAAACAGAGACACAAGTAAAAAATCTCTAATGGGCATGTTCAGGCAAAACCAAATGGCAGAAATGTTTGCTACTGTGGGCTTATCACCACCTCTGTGTTTTACTAGTTAAAGTAATTGTGTTTACCCAGACACAGAAGAATAATGTCAGCATGTTTGAGCCACATAGAAATAATTTAGTAATATGCATTAGCAATATGCTATGGATATGATAAAATAAGAAACTCTATAGTTAATGCTTTTTTTCTATTTAACATTAATTTTCTTCTGGAAGCTCTTCCTCCTCTTTCTTCTGTCCTTGTTCAATAATGTTGTGCCATTCCTCCCACTGCTTGAACTTCAGTCATTTGTCACTCCTCTCTCTGCATCCTCTGTACATCCAGGCAGTCGGGCTCTGTTGTTATAACTCCTTGCTGGCTCCAAGTCCGTCTCTTTTTTTGACCATTCCCAAATTTAGTTTAGACTCTACTTTCATCTCAGAGTTAGCCATCAAATTCTCCTCTAATCCATGGTAAATACAGCAAAAAACCACACAGACTTTGAAATGAGACATTGATTCAAAATAGTTTGATCTTTGCTTGTCTGTATATTTGTAATTTTTGAATTTCAATTGTCTGTCTACAAAATGAGTATGACAATATCTATTATATGGGATTGCAGTGAGGATTAAGGGGGACTGTGGAGTGTTTACAGTGCCTTGCAGGTGGTAGGCACTTAGGAAATGTTGGTACTTTCCATCTTCCATTCTCGCATTTAGCTCCATCACTGATGTGCCTGGCAGGTCCTGTTTAAAGTACAGATCTCATGTGTCATTGCTCTTGTCAAAAACCTTCAGTGGTTCCCTATCATCTCACAATTTAAATAAAGACACTACTGCCTGGCATTTGGAGCTCCAATTCCCTCACTCCAATGATTTCCAAGGTTTTCCCCCAGAACTGTTCTTCTCCATGTACTTCATGTATTAGCCAAATTCGCTATCTATCTTATCATCATGTCGCCACTTCTATGTACAGTGTCATCTCTATGTTAGCATTATACCTATCCTTCAAACCCTGTCTCAAAAACCACTGCCTTTACAAAGCTGCTCACAACCTGGAAGTGGAAATGGCAACACTGTACCCAGGCTCTGGATCCAGGTCCTGCTACTTACTGTCATCCTGGAGACACTACTCAGTCTCTGTAGCTCAGTCACTTTCCCCTGCAAAATTAGAGCAATAATACCTACTTCGTAGGGTTGTTGTAAGGATTAAATAAAATACTACATGTAAAGCCCTTTACCTTGGAAAGCTTAAACTAGTTTCTGTACAATCTTGGGCATGAATAGTCAATATTGTTTTTATCATCAGGACCTGTATTTTACAGGGAATTCAAATTAAATGCTGTTTGAGATACAGTGGGAAGAGGCATGGACTAGGAACCAACAGACCTAGATTTTAGTGTTGGTTGCCACTTAGCCTCTCTGAATCTTTCTTTGCTGCAAAGAGGGGGATGAACAAAAATCACTATGCTTTCTTTCACTTCCACATGGATATCTAATAGTTGCCTCCAACTCAAGTTGACCAAAACAGAACTCTTAATGTCTACTTCTCTGAGCACACTCCTTTCATATCAGTAATGGTGCTGTCAACTACTTACCTAGTTCAAGTAAAAAACCAAAAAAACAAAAACCCAAAACTTATGAGTTACCTTTGAATCATCTATTTCTTTCACCATCTAAATCAAATCTTACTGGTTTTAAATACATCCAAAACAAATCTACTGCTACAGCCCCAGTCTAGTCCTCTCTTGTCTGCAGGTTGCTAAAATTTCCTTCCTAATCCATCTTTCTGCCTCAGCTCTTGCCGTTTTTCAGCGTATTTTTCCACAGAGCCAAAGTGATATTTAAAACATGAACCGCATAATATCACTCTCTTGCTTAAAACTCCCCAATGGTTTTTCGTCATACTTAGAACAAGATCTAAACACTTTTATCTCCTACCACTCTCACCCTTGTGCTTTAGATGCATGGCCCTCTTTTCTCTTCCCACTTCCCAAACTCGTGTCTGCCTTGGGCCTTAGCACGCGCTGTGCTCTGTTGAAGTATTCATCCTCCAGAGGTCAGCATGGCTTGCTTCTGTCACTGATCTCAACCCTAATTGCCCTCTCCCTTCTACAAGTAGTATTCTATCATACCCAATTTTATTTATTCATTTTTTACTATCTGAAAATAGCCTATTTATTTCTTTGCCCCCTGATTGAAATTAAATGTCCTCATATTAGGGCCTAATCATTACTAGCACAGTGCCTGGAATACAGTAGGTATAAAAAAGAGAAAAAGCTGACTTGAATGAATAAATACATAAAGGATTAAATATAAGCCCATTTTAATGAGATGCCACAGTTTATATTTACATGAGCCTACTGTTTTTATTTTTAAAGTCTGGAGACTTGTTTGTTTTCCCTTAACTTAATCACTCATAAATGAATATTATTGAATACATATGCTTGTGCCAGAAATGACTGCAAATAAAACAGTAGTGCAATTACAGGTTGCTTTTCCCCCAAGTTCTCAAATTCACCATTCCATCCACCTCCTCTCCCACACTATCACATTAGTGCAAATTTCCTTGCCTTATGGCCTGCAGGGTTCCCTCCTGTTTCACCCCCGCCCCCGCCCCGTAAATTCTAATCTCCCAATAATCTATTCTCCAGACTGCAGCCAAGGAGCTTTTCAGTCGCCATCATACACCTGCTTGGAAACCTTCGTAGTTTTCAGGATAAAGGAGAGAATCTGCCCTGTCCCACCACGTCCCGTCACACCAGCCCTCTCTCCCATCCTGGTTCCCGCCTGCCGCCTGGCCGGCAGCCCTGGCTTTCCGCTTCTTGAACAGTTCTACATTACACCCATTTCGCCTGCCTCTTATCTTAAAGAAATTGTTCCCTTCCTCAAAGAAGTCCTCTCTGGTTAGGCCAAGTGCCAGTCCCCAGCACACAGCCCCTCGTCTCCAAGGACCTCTATTTCAGAGCTCTTATTTAATAAGTATATACTAGTGAATATGGTAACTTTATTAACGTGTTCATGTGAGCTTGCGCTTAAGAGCAGTTTGCGGAAGGAACTCACTAGCCGCCCAACCACTCCTCGCCCCTCCCCCTAGGCTTGCGGCGCAGCTATGACGCATTAACAGGCACCGCGGGAGATGTCGCAGAACGCCTGCGCGAAGGGGCACGCAAGCGCAGAGGGTCCACACCGCTGACAGATTCTCGGTGGTGGCGGCAGCAGCAGTGGACCTAGACTGCGGGGAATGGGAGTACTAGTTCTCTGACTGAACACCGCCCCCGCCTCCTTAGCCCCCCGACATGGCTCAGGAAAAGATGGAGCTAGACCTGGAGCTGCCTCCGGGTACAGGCGGGAGCCCGGCGGAGGGCAGCGGCAGCGGCGGTGGCGGGGGCCTCAGGAGGTCTAACAGCGCCCCCCTTATCCACGGCCTCAGTGACACTTCGCCGGTGTTCCAGGCCGAGGCGCCGAGCGCCAGACGGAACAGCACAACGTTCCCGAACCGCCATGGCCTGCTGCTACCGGCGTCCCCCGTCCGCATGCACAGCAGCCGCTTGCACCAGATCAAACAGGAGGAAGGCATGGACTTGATCAACCGAGAGACAGTCCACGAACGGGAGGTACAGAACGCAATGCAGATAAGCCACTCCTGGGAGGAAAGTTTCAGCCTGAGTGACAACGACGTGGAGAAATCATCCTCCCCGAAGCGCATCGATTTCATTCCGGTGTCACCAGCACCATCGCCTACCCGCGGAATTGGGAAGCAGTGTTTTTCACCATCCTTGCAAAGTTTTGTGAGTAGCAATGGATTGCCTCCAAGTCCTATTCCCAGCCCCACGACCCGATTTACTACGCGAAGAAGCCAGAGTCCCATTAATTGCATTAGACCAAGTGTTCTTGGACCATTGAAAAGAAAATGTGAAATGGAAACTGAGTATCAGCCAAAGAGATTTTTCCAGGGCATCACCAACATGCTTTCTTCTGACGTTGCACAGCTGTCAGATCCTGGTGTCTGTGTATCTTCCGATACCCTTGACGGAAACAGCAGCAGTGCTGGATCTTCTTGTAACTCACCAGCGAAAGTCAGCACTACCACCGACTCCCCGGTGTCACCTGCCCAAGCGGCCTCTCCTTTTATTCCAGTAGATGAACTTTCATCTAAGTGACTCACTCACCCATCCCAGAGACTCGGTTGTTTTCTGTTTTGTTTTGTTTTGTTTTGCAATGGAGAGAAAAATCAAGTTAGAGCAAGCACTGAACTTTGTCGATTAATTTGAGGCTATTTCCTATTTGACTGTTTTCCTTTTTTGGAATTTACTGAACTGTTGATATTCTAGAGAACTTTTATGTCAGGTTCCTGCGGATACCCTTGAATTCAGTGTAGTAATATTTTGAGACGTTTTCCCAATAAGTGTGTTGAAGCATACATCTTTACGCTGCTAATATGTCTAAATACATATGTTATCCCTTGATTTTTTAAAAAATAATTGAGAGCTCTATTTATTTATGGGATTATTAAGTTCTGATGCAAATATAAATGTTGAATTAATCAGTGTAGTAAACTGATGTTTTAAAATTCCATACTTCATGCCCACACTAATTTTAATGTTATTTTTAGTGATTGCGAATTTCTATTTGATGAACAATAACGTACTTATGCTATTTTTAAAATATGTTATATCAATCCAGTGGTTGTCTGTTTTATCCAGGAATCCTTGGATATTTAATTTTCTAGGTACAGAAAGTGGGTGGGAGGGGGGCGATAAAGAATAAGATATAAACATTAGCAACAAATCTTTTGAAATTAAATATAGAAGTAAACATTTAAGAAAAACATTTTAAAATGAAATTTAATAGCAATTCTAAGTCGCACAAATATAACTACAGAAAATGATTTTTCTTTTTTACTAGGAAGTGCATTCTTTTGCGTATAATCCTAAAGTGAAATGGGACAATGTCTTGCAGTCTTAATTCACTGCATGTAGACAGGTCAGGTTCTTTGTACCACTGCAAACTTAAAAAGTTTTTCAAATGTAGAAAATGTGTGGAAAGCCCTGCTGAACTTCAGCGGAGCCTCCAGGCAGATAAAACTCTGTCATTATTAATATGCTTTAAAATATCCATCATGCCTCAGTGAAAATTGTTGCCAATGAGAAGCCAGGGCAACTTTTGGCTGCTTTTTTTCTGCTCATCTGTCACCTTCCTGGTTTTTCCTGGCTCAGGAAGGAAGCAGCTGTTTCCTTGCCAACAGGTCCTTCCTCTTCACCTCCCACCAAACTAGGGCATCAATGCACCATCCGTTAGACAAGGGTACAGTGCGACTTGGATTTCTGACAGTGAGCAATGACAGGACCATGGAATTGTTTCAGGAACTTCTGTGGTGAAAGCTACAGCTGGAGTTGAGTGCCTTGGGGATGTCAGTTAATTAAGAGTCAGTGATTTGCAAGAGAAAATCAATGGAGAGTCACATAGGTAAATCATTATTTGACTTAGGTTTTGTTAAAGGTAGGATTGTGAAGTGTACTTTTCTTTGCCTTTTACAATTAAGACAAAATATAAAAATATTTAGTAGTAAAATGTTTTTTATATTATATTTCGTATATCATCCTTAACTAGCGAGAGACACAGGAAAGAAAGAAAGAGAAAAAGAAGAAAAAAAAAAGACGTAGGGAAAAAATAAAAAGACTGAAAGAGAGACCAAGACAAGAAGCTCTGGCTTTTTAAAGTCATTGCCTACAGAGACTTTAACAATCGTGTGGAGTTTTTACAGCTGTGAGGATAAATGGAACTGGTCAACTTTTAAAAGTTACCTCAAGAATTCAGTGAAAATTATATCGAGGGTAAGATGATGTTCAGAGACTTAAAATTCTCTCTTTTAGGTAATAGTGTTCCTTACCCACTCCTGACTTGTTCCTCAAATTCAAACGTATATATCCAATTTCCTGTTCAGCACTTTGCCCTGCTTCCAGAGGTACTTTAATCTCAGCATCTCTAAAGCAAAATATATTGTCTTCTCACTGAATCTGTTGTTGAATTACCTAAATTGATGATGTCGCCACCATCTGACTTCCTAAACTGGAAACCATGGGAAACATCCTTGACTTTCCTTTTTCCCCATCTGGCATATCCAGCTTAATCACCAAATCCTATCTACTGAAATGAATCTCATATCTCTCCTTTCTATATCTCTGTTGCCACTGATTTGGCTTAAGTTCTGGCTTAAGTGATCTGCCAGCCCATTTTCTTAACTCCCTTTTGGCCCAGTCTTCACACTGCCTTTAAAGTGATCTTTTAAAAATATGATCTTGAGTTTTCATCCTCCTACTTAAAAACTATATGCTTCTCCATTTTGTGAATATATATATATATATATATATATATTAGGAACTGGCCCTACTCTTGGAAGCTTCAGTCCTCTGCTCATCCTGTCCCAATACACATCTTTCCTTCTTACTCTGCAAACACTAGGCTACTTGGTGTTCTTTCAATATGCCATATACTTTTATGTGTTTGTATCTTTGGATAGATCGTTCCTTCTTAAAAGTCTATTTCTATCCTTTTCAGTGAGGCAAATCTTTATTTCTTTTTATTGCATATGAATTTGTGAAATAATGTGTACCTGATGATTATGAAAACATTAAACAATGCAGATATCTATACAGGAAAAAAATGAAAGCCTGCCTTTTAATATATAAAATTCATCTTCCCATAGTTAATTTCTGTCAGTACTTTCACATATTGTACAAGATATGTGAATTCACATTTCCATGCGTGTATATGTATATAAATTCAGGAAACCAACACGTCATTTACATCTCTCTTCCCTTCTTTCCCCCGTATCTTATCAGTCCCCAAATCTTACTGATTGCGTTTTCCAGGATCTCTTTTCTTACCTTCACCTCTGCTGCCTGTCTGACCCAGGGTCCCATCATTTCCCTCTTAGGCTTCTGAAGCTGCCTTCTAATTCCCATTTGTCCCCTTCACCCTTGCTCTGTTTGACTACCCATTTATTCTCCATATAGCAACTAGAGTAATTCTTTTAAAATCGCAAATCTGATCCATCTCCCAGCTTTAAAGCTTTTTTGCTTCTTGTTGTTAGGGTATAACAAAATGGTTGGATTCTGGCCCAGGAGGCCCAATGGGAGCGAACTCTTGCCTGCCCTCCCCTTGGTTTCTGTGTCCCACCTTTACTGGCTTCTTGTAAATACGTTATGTTCTCTCCCATTTTAGGTCATTTTGCCAGATCATTTTTCTTGAAGGTATAGAGAAACAGGGAAACCTTTATTTGTATAAGCTTATTTTTCTATTTAAGCAGTAAGTTTTAAATCAGATGAGTCTCTAAGAATTCGTATAGACAGTTTACATTATTGTGTTATTGTTCATAAGTTTAGTTAGTACTCTGTAGAATGTAAGGACTTAGAACATATAATTGTCCTTTAAAAAACTTTTTTTTAGGGTATTAGTATTGTTAATCTATAAACTTTGTGCTAGAAGTCTCAAAGCACACAACATTTAGTTACAGTATAGTTTGTCATATGTAACAAAAGTCTGTGGTATGTTTTCCTTTATTGTATTTGTTAAAAACACAATGTAAGTAGGAAAAAATAATGGCCACAAAATTTGCAGCTGCTGGATGTCAGAACCTTTAAGCATACTTAAAAGGTTGATTGTAATCAAGAATAACCTGTATCAGGTTGCCTTCCAGTGATTCAGTTATTAGTTCAGCCCCTCAAATACCTGTAGCAAGAGACTGTTAGATATTTGGCAGTAGAATGGGGGAAGTGTCAAGGCTTATGAGGGAAACAGAATTTAGATTTTTTTCTTATGGGCCTGTTTATGGATGAGTAGAAAAAGTGTGAAGATCCAAGACAGGTGGGAGACGGGATAGTTGCCACAATGACAAACCGAAGATGATGATGTCACCTACAATTCCCAGGTAGCATTAGGGAATAGAAGAAAGAATTGGTCTTGGAGAGGAGGTCTGGAAGCACGTGGGGGTGGGGGTGGGGGGGGGGAGGACAGGAAGAAGGAGAGTGAAACAGCTAGGGAAAGATAAGTAAATGTTGAATTGGTATGCTGATGCAGGGGTTTAGGGATGTGGAGGAAAGTATATGAAAAAAGAATTTATGTGAATGCTTCTATTTTCCAATTACTGAGGGGTCTATGATATTTGGGCGTGGAGCGAGTGTAGACTTGGAAGCTTGAGTGAAATAAAGTTTTAAATGTTGCCTCTGAGAATCTGTAAAGAAGTGAGTAGACGGTTTATTGAGCCACCTTAGATGGCAAGTGCAAAAGAAGTGGATTGGATTGAGCTAGGTTTGAACATTGGTAAGTACTAGGTACTAGGTAAAGTACAGTGTGTAAAGCAATGAAGTGCTTTTGAGCACTTTCTGCTGAAAGTGGAGTTGAATGATTAGCCAAAGCCGTGGGGATGGTAATAGAAGTTAACAGTGGGTTATGGGCCTTTTTTTTTTTTTTTTTGCAAGGTCTTAACATTACAGTCAGCCAAAGCATACAGAGATTGTGATCTCACTTCAGAACTCTTGCATTAGCAGTTTTGCCCATGTTTTTCATGGCTGATTTTGTGTAGTTGGAAAATCAACCCTACATCAGCAAGCCTTGGGTTCCACTTGTTTGATAAAAAAGATGTTGAGTCATTTTGCTCATTATGCCAAGACAGGTCTTTATGCCTTCCCTAACTTGCTATTCGAGTATAAAATGTTCTTCAAAGTTGAAATGACCTTTATATTAAAAATTACATATAAAGTACTTGCTATATGTTAGGCAGTGTTCTAGGGGCTAAACAAATGTGTTCTTTCATTTAATCATTATCATCTGAAGTAAGTGCTATTATTGTCCTCATTTTATAAGTGAGGAAGTGGAGGTACAGAGGGGCTAAGTAACTTGCTCGTCATTCTACAACGGAGCTAAGCAGTGTGTCATGGTTAAGGACACAGACTGGAGCCAGGCGGCTGTGATAAGGCTTACACGGGTCCTGCGTGTGGAGTTCTTACAGCAGTCCTGGGGGATTTCTGGCGAAGTGTTAACTATCATTCTCCTCATTGTGATGGTGGCAGCTGTCATTTTTGTTGTCTTAATAACAACAATAATGTTGTGCACCTACAAAGAAATCATTTATCATCCTTGGTGAATGAAATGCCTGCTTTCGTCATCGGTAACATTACACTCTCTATTCTTCAAGGCATCCTTTCCTATGATAAACTTGAGTGTTTTGGATGTTGGAGGGTTGTTTTTTTCCTTAATTTTATAATTACAGGTGATACACAATATGTCAACTTAAGGTATGCAACCTAATGAAAAGACATTCATATAACTTAAGTGATCACTCTGATTAGTTCCCACTTGACACCATACAGTTATGACAGTGTTACTATCTTCCCTATGCTGTACTTCACACCCCTGTGACTGTTTTTAAACTGGCAATTTTTACATCTTTATCCCTTCCCTTTTTTGCCCAACCCCTCCCCCCATTTACCAACCATCACAATGTTGTCTTGTTTGTTCATTTGGTTTTTTTTACATTCCACATGTAAGTGAAATTATGTGGTATTTGCCCTTCTGTGTTTGATTTGTACCCTCTAGGTCCATTCATGTCGTTGCAAGTGACGAGATTCCATTCCTTTTATGGCTGAGCATTTGAGATGTGTACCACCTCTTCCTTACCCACTAGTCTATTGACGGACACTCAGGTTGCTTCTGCATCTTGGCTGTGGTAAATAATGCTGCAGTGTAATAGGGGTGCATATGACTTTTCAAATTAGTGTTTTGGGTTTCTTCAGTTACGTCTCTTTGGGATTTCTGGGTAATATGATAGTTCTGGTTCTAATTTTTTGAGGAACTTCCATACTGTTTTCCACAGTAACCGCACCAGTTTACAATCCCACCAACAGCAGAGAAGGGTTCCCTTGTCAGATGTTGGAAAGTCTTATACCGAGCAGACATTTCCCTCTGTGATTTCCACGGTTTAAATCAGTCAGGCTCTCTGGAAAATGCAGAACAAGCCTCCTCTCTCTTTTCTAGATAATAGCCTTCCCTTCCCAAATCAGAGACCCTTGATTCCTCTAATTACCTCTTCTGAATTGGAGAAATCTTGAGCAGTTTTTCTAGCGTACTCCGTCTGTGAAATAGGGCTAGCATTACTTGGCAGGCAGAATTTTCGCAAGATCGTAATCCCTTTAAGACTGCTTTCGCTGCTGAGAAAGCAAAGGGTGGTTTAATAACATGACCCATTGCCAGTAATAATTATAATGAGTGCTAATATTTATTGGCACTCATTATATGGGTCCAGACACTATTTTCAGTGCTTTGCTCGTATGAATTCTTTTAATCCTTATGACAACCCTGTGAGGTAGTTGTTAAGATTATTTTCATTTAACAGATGAGAAAAACAAATACATTTTCTTAAGTCTTAATTTGAATTTTTTTTTCTTTTGAATTTAGGTCCTTTTTGTCTTTTCCCTAAGAACAAACTTTTTTATTTGCGAAAAAGCCAATTTCCCACCTTGCTACTGCTGTTGCTTTTATTTTGAATCAAATATATTTATGAAAAGTATGGCTTTAGACATTATAACCATGTTAGAGAAAGCTATAGGAGACTTAGCAATAAGTGAAGCGGTATAAAAGGAAATCATGCTTTACATATTTTTAACTGATTTGTTATTTGAAGTAAGAAATCCCCAAACCACAAATTTCAGATTCTTTATTTTCTTTATATAATGTGTACATACACATACATATATATGCTTGGTTATATCTGAGTTGTACAGTATCCTTGGTTGTCCTTAGGTAATTGTTCCCAGGGAAACAAAAGCAGGAACCATTCTGACCCTCCCTTTCCCCCTCCAAACACTACGAGTTAAAAATGTGTTGTTACTTAGAGGAAAATTAACAGCAGGGTCTAAAGACTGATCTAAAACCTTTCATTACCTAAATAATAAGCTCTATAAGAAGCCCTCCACAGAAGACAGAGATTTCAATTCATAACAATTGGGCAATCCTTGAGAAACTAATATTTTTTAAGTTTACTTCATAGAAAATCACCTTACAATTGACTAAAAGGACCCCCCCCCCCGCAAAAAAAAAAACCCTTCACATTTTAGAATTGGTGCTTAGATTTCAGGTTCATAGTGTCATGTGCCAGCATGAGACATTTATTTGTTCCAAAGGGTTAGTATCATTTTTAGAAGTTCAATAAATAGTTTTACATCTCTTCAAAAGTGACTTTTCATTCTGTTCGTGGCTAGTTTGAGAAATAATTGGTGGTAGGGAGGTCAGGCAGGTAACATAGTCCAGTCGCATGCGTGCACAACCACATGTGTGTGTACCTGTGCAAACACACGTGGCTACTGCTGACAAGAATGTTTTGTGATTTGACTGTAATCAACATTTCCGAATTCCACGTGCTGCCCAGAAAGAGAAACAGGTGTTTGGTACTGGTACCTAGGATGTCTGAGCCTGGTTTCTATTTCTCCTTTTGAACTTGTGGAATAAGTACTTGGGGAGAGGTAAACATCTCTCCCTAACAAATCCTACAGCAGCAGGACTGCAGCTGGAGAAGAGAAAACCTATGGCTGGTGTGCACCTGCAAAGGTTCAGTCCTCCATCAGTGCCAGGGGTAGTTCTTGCTCTTCTCCAACTGCCTAAAACGGTCTTCCAAACCAAACTGATGTCTAAGGCTTGGCTACCAAGGCATGTTGTGAAGGAAGACAATTGAGAAAGATCTTTTGTGCCCTCACAAAGTAAAGTAACTGGTTGAGGTTACCATTCCTGTGATTCAGGCAATACCTGCCCCTTGCTTTAAGGACAAAGAACGACTTCACTGGGGCAACACAGGGAGGATTACTAGAGCCCAGTGACAAGCAGCTATGGAGTGTTGATATCTTTTGGAAAGAAAAATACAAGATGTGTGGGAGAGAATGGGAGTGGGGCGATGACGGATGGGTTGGGTATTTCTTTTGGCGCATGAGCCGTCCCCGGACTACCATTGTGAGCTCCCCGTTGGGTAAAGAATGACGTTGGTGGTATAAAGAATGACGTTGGTGGTAGTTTTCTTCATGCCTGTTTGTTTGCTCCTTGTTTCACTTCACTGGGGGTTTGGAGTTGAGTCAGGATATATTTAAGATTTTCTCTGAGTGTCCTTCTCTTAATTTCTCTTCTTTTGAGCCTTCTGGGGGAAACAAAGGTAAACAATAATAGTACTAATACTTGCCAAGTTACTTTGAGTCAAGAATTACAATTCTTAGTGGTCTCTACCAATTTATACCAGTCTTATAACTATGAGTTAAAATCTATGCTTATCTATATGGTCTTTCTAAAGACTCTATTTCACCATACCACTTGTTACCAGATATTTCTAAAATGCAAACCTGAAATGCAATTCCAATGGGCTACCCTGTAACTTCAGAATTAAATCAAATGATGCAGCATGAGTGAAAAGAGATGCCTCTGCTTCCACAGATCCCCTGAATTTCAGTACTAGCCACTCCGAGCTGCCTGAGGTTCCCCAAGGCTTCATGCTCCTGTAGCGTGGCTGCGCTTTGACAAGCCGTGCCCTCTGCTTACAATGGCTCTTCCCTGTTCTGCTACAGTCCCTACCCACCTTCTCTCCTTAACTAACTCCACCCGAGGAGTACATCTTCTGGAGAGCCTTTCCTGGTGGCCCCTGTTTCTCCAGCCTGGTCAGTTAGATGGCTTTCTTTTGTCATGCTGTTATACCCAGGGCTTCCTTCTACAAAGGCAGTCAGCAGGCTGAATTGTTTTTATATGATTCCTGTCTATTTGTCTTCTGTGAAAACAAACCTCAGCCTTTTACTTCAGTCCCTAATGCCTGTGCACAGCATTGACACAGCCTGTAGTTGCTCAAATTTATTTTGAGTGGATGATTAATGGATGGGTAAATGCTTGCTTACCCAAGCAAATGGCACAGACTATTTTTAAAAGAAAGGAATGTAGT